ACCTTGTGAATGACTCTCTGATCCAGAGTTATTTAAATGAAAACCCGAAAATAGCGCTATCTTGGACCCGGGAAGGCAAGGGGAGTTCAGATTCAAAGGCTGGCTTGCTGCTGATACATGTGCTAAGAAACGAGAGGATTGGCTAGTGAGGACGCAAAAGTCTATTTCAGGGTAGGTAAAAGGAGCATGATGATTGATTAAACAAATTTTTTAAATGAAAGATAACGAAAGTGAAATAACGACAGAGGAAAATTTTCATTGTCGAGCATAATGTACCCTTATGCTGAGAAATATTCTCCCATAATTTTCCACGACAGAAACATAAACAATGAACAAACCCAAAATTGTAATCAAAATGATACAATCTGTAAATTAATTATAGATATTATTCCATATCGAATGTCCACGTTTGTCTTGATTAGTAGCTTTCGCTTTTTTAAGCCATTTGCGCTTACATTTGTATCAAATTTAGTGTTACAGTGAATTTTTTAGTGTTAGATGTTAAACAGCCTAAAATTTAACTGTTTGATGTTATAGACGGAAAATTTTAGTGTTTAGTGTTTTCGAGGCACCCCCATCCAGACCCTTTGCGCATATCCACTCATTTGTTATTCATCCTTAAGATGTTTAAGGATTAACAAGATTAGCAAACTTATGTCTTCCTCACAAAACGAATCTAATTCTAGACTGAATGCATTTAAAAAAGAAGTAGAGTGTCTTCGCAACCTCCCCACAGTTCAAGACTGTAGACAGAACTACAGCACCTGAACATTGCGGGAGAAATGGACGACAGGGTCGAGAGACAATTCAAGACGGCAATCGAGCACCGGCATCAACTCTGTCTAGAAAATGCTAAGAAGGTGGGTGATACGAATAATCAGGGAAAAAGTTATCGCAATCTAGGCAACATTTACCATGGCGTTGGAAAATACGAAACAGCTGTAGAGTACCATCTACGTGCTCTAGAAATTGCCAGAGAAGTGGGAAAAAAGTTCGATGAGGGAAGAAGTTACTGCAATCTCGGCAGGGCTTATCGTGGTTTAAGACGGTTCAAAACAGCAATCGAGTACCATCAACGTCATCTAGCAATCGCCGAAGAAGTGGAAGACACGACCGATGAGGCAGTTAGCTATTATAGTAGTCTCGGCTGGGCCTATCACGGTCTAGGACAGTTCAAAGAGGCAATCGAGTACCATCGAAGCCACCTAGAAATTACCAAGGACATGGGAGATAAGATTGGAGAAGGAATCGCCTATTGCACTCTCGGCAAGGCTTATCGTGGTCTTGGACAGTTCCAAACAGCAATCGAGTATCATCGACGTCATCTTGAAATTTCCGAAGAAGTGGGAGACAAGGTCGAACAGGGAATTGGTTATGGCAATCTTGGCTGCGCTTGTCAAGGTCTAGGGCAATTCAAAAAAGCAATCAAGTACCATCTCAGTCATTTAAAAGTCTCCCAAAAAGTTGCAGACAAAGCCGGAGCAGGAGTCAGCTATGGTAATCTAGGCAACGCTTATCATATCCTAGGACAGTTTAAAACAGCAATCAATAACCATCATCTTCATTTAGAAATTGCTAGAGAAGTAGGAGACAAGGCTGGAGAGGGCATCAGTTATGGAATTCTGGGCTGTGCATAACATGGTCGAGGAGAGCTCAAAACAGAAATCGAATATCATCAACGTCACTTAGAAATTGCTGAAGAATTTGGAGACAGGGTTGGCGTGGGAATCTGCTATGGCAGTATTGGTTGTACTTATCATGGTCTGGGACAATTTAAAAAAGCAATCGAGTATCATCAACGTCATCTAACAATTGCCGAAGAGGCAAGGGACAAGGCTGGCATAGTAGCTAGCCATAGCAATATCGTCAACGTTTATCATAGCTTTGGACGGTTCAAAGTAGCAATAGAGTTCCAACAATATGCTATACAAATTGCCCAAAATTTGAGAGATAAGGCCGTAGAGGGAATAAGTTATGGCAATCTCGGCAAAGCTTATCATAGTAGTTTTGACGGACCCGCTCGGGAAAAGGTGAAAATGACGAGGGAAAAACTTTACTTTGTAGTACGAAAATACACAAAATGGAAAGCCATGATATTATAGTTCAATATTTCGGTGGTACATTGTTAACTTTTTATACAGAGAGTCGGCAAGATGATATAACACCAAAAAATCTGACTCGATTTGAGTGGGCCGATGAAGTGGGCGTGGTCACGAAATTCAGTAAGAGACTATTTGTACCCCGTGAGTTTGATATGTTGCAACCAATCTCTAGAGAAACAGGTAATAATGGTGAAAGGAACAAAGGCCGGTGGACGAAGAAAAGGAACTAATGAGATATCTATTGTTTTAAATATCTTGCGAAACAAAATATGATAATTTTTGTTTCGCAAGATATTTTTTTGTTTCGAAAGTACTTTATGACCTTCAGAGCATGCTCGTTGGTGTCGGATTGCCGAAACAACATGGTGCCATCATAAGAGCGTAAGCGTGTCGCTTAAGTTAAACTGTTTACGGTTGCTTGATAAATCTGACATGGTTTGAACCAATATATTCAGTAAAGAAAAGAAAGAAAAATGTTGCAGCTGCTGTAGCAATGTCGTAAGATTTGAATTTGCAAAGCGTAATATACAACTTCTGATTTCGTAGCTTTCCTGATTCCTAAATAAAATTCCTAAACAAAATAATACTTTGCAAAATGGCTACCAAAACAACGAAGGAAAGGGAGGAGATATAGCCGACGTTTTTTGCGTTGTTATGACGGTTATGTTTGTAGTAAGTACTTGCGAACCGAAAAAAAAACTTGCGAAACAAAAAATATCATATTTTTATATGGGGTCCACGAAAAGGGGTCCAAGGACCGGGTCCATGAACCGGGTCATGAAAAATTTGAAGAAACACAGCTGCCATCAAAAGAGGGATTTTTAGTATTCTGACTGGCAAGCACATAAGAGATGAGGAATATGAAAATGCCCCAAATGTTTGGAAGACATTAAATGGAAAAATATAGGTGAATATCATGATTTGTATTTGATGTCTGATGTGTTTTTGCTGGCTGATGTATTTGAAAACTTCAGAAAGACATGTTTGCAGTATTGTTTGTGAATTAAATCCATGTCATTATTTCACTTCTCCTGGTCTTAGTTGGGATGAAATGTTGAAAATGACTAAAATCAAACTTGGATTAGTGACAGATGCTGATAAATTTTTACTCATTGAAAAAGGCGTGAGAGGTGGTATTTCATGTATTGCCAATAGATATGCAAAAGCTAACAACAAATAGGTGAAGGATTATGACAAAAACAAACCTTCAAAATATATTATATACTTGGACGTAAATAATTGAAATGGTTGGGAAATGTTACAATATCTTCCAACTGATAATTTCAAATGGCTTACTCAAAAGAGAATTAACGAGATTGATTTTACGAAGCAAAGAGAAGAAACAAATAAAGGAATGATTCTCGCGGTCAACTTGGAATGCCCAAAAAAATTACATGAAATTCATAATGATTATCTAGTAGCTGCTGAACAAATTAAAGTAAACAAAAATGTGCTCTCACATTATTGTAAAAATATTCAAAAGAAGAACAATATAAGCATTTGTCAAGTTCAAAAGCTCATTCCCATACTGTCTTACAAAGCAAAGTTTGTGTTGCATTACAGAAACTGCAGCTTTATATGGAATTGGGATTAAAATTAAAGAAAGTACACAGAGTCCTTTGGTTTGATAAGAGTCCTTGGATCAAATATTAAATTGATTTCAACACTAAGAAGCGAACTGAAGCAAAGAATGCTTTCAAGGAGGATTTTTTTCAAGCTGATGAATAATAGTGTATTTGGCAAAACGATGGAAAATTTGCAAAAGCACGTTGACGTAAAACTATAAACCACAAACAAAACTATGCTTGCAAAGTATTGCTCAAAAACGACACATTGCAAATAAAATCTCTAGTGAGAATCTTGTGACTCTTCATAAGATCAAAGAAATGCTCACTCTTAACAAGACAGCTTATGCTGGGATGTGTATCCTCGTTTTGAGCAAGACATTGATGTATGATTTTCATTATAATTACATAAAAGAAAAGAAAAGTACAATGACAAGGCCGAATTATAATTGACAGACAGTTTGACCTATGAAATGGAAACAAACGATGTGTACAAAGATTTCTGGTGAAATAAAGATAAATTCAATAACAATGATTACTAAGTAGATTGCAAATATTTCAACAAAACGAATAAAAAAGTGATCGAAAAATTTAAAGATGAAGCTGCTGGTATGCCAATGTGAGCTCGTTGGTTAAGATCGAAAATGTAGTTATTTGAAAGATGATAATAAAGTTGGGAAGACCGCTGAAGGAATCAAGAAGAATGCGATTGGCAAAGACATCAAACATACTGATTATAAAAATACAAACGAATAAAGGCTGATAGTTTCGAAAGAAACTGTTTGGGGCTGCGTCGGTGGGAGTAACGAAATAACTTGGATATATCAACAAAGTTGAAGTGGAAAAGTGGCCAGCGTAACGATTACAAAAGCTGACGTTTCGAGCGTTAGCCCTTCGTCGGAGCGAATAGAGGAATTGTGGGTTGTGTGTGCTTTTAAAGGCAGAGAAAGGAACTACGTTACTGGTGGGAACATGGCAACGAGAAAAACAAGAATAAATTAGTGGAATGAAAAGCGTTCGTTGATCCCTGTGGGATTTAGACTGCCGGTTTGAAAGATGAGCTTTTGTTCAAGATTTTTACGGCTTTCCGTGCTACCTAAGTGTAAGGAAAGACCGCAGATTGCCATATGTTGCTTAGAATGATTAGGTAAATTAAAATGTCTAGCGACTGGTTTCGATGTGTCCTTGTCATTCCTTTCCACGTCTCGAAGGTGTTCTCGGAATCGGTCACCTAGTCTTCTGCCTGTTTCGCCGATGTATATCTTTTTGCAATAAGTGCAAGTTATGCAATAGATTACATTGGCGGAGGTGCACGTGAAGTGATCGGTGATCTTAATGGATCGTTTAGGTCCCGATATTTTATCAGTGTTGTGAATGAAAGGACACGTTTTGCATCGTGCACGAGCGCATTTAAAAGTGCCTGGTTGGTCATTAGTCTGAAAAGAACTTCTGACCAAAAAATTGCCTATGTTTTTGTCGCGTTTGAATGAAATGAGCGGAGGCTGCGAAAAGATAGTGCTTGTCTCTGGATCGTTTTGAAGTAATTTAAAGTTTTTAAGAATGATGGATTTAACTGAGTGGTTGTGAGGGTGAAACGTGAGAGTGAATGGAATGCGGTCGGAATCTTCCTTATGCGACGTTTGTAGTGCTGAATGTCGATCAATAAGTTG